CCCAGACACAAACTTTGCTATGTGACATGACGGGTTCCCGGCAGGTGCAACGAGTTTCCCCGTCTCAGGGGTATCCAAAGCAAACAGTACCGTGGAGAACTGCTTCCTTTCCAATGCTTACATTTCTATAGATAGGCAAGCGCAGATTAAAAATTCATAACATATATGTATAAAATACCACTCATATGCAACGAAGTTTATGTCCTTGGCAATATGTTTCAAAAAGTATAATACAACGGCATGATTTCTAATGTGATGATAGCTGCTCAGTCCTATGATATTTTTTTTTTTTTTGTAAATAATCCCAAGGTTTTAAAATTGGCCCTCGCCGGCCCTTATCTTATTTTCCACTGGCCCTGTCAAGATTCTGCTTTGACTGAATGATTCCTATGTCTCAAGCCGATTCCACGTGCTCGGCTCAATCATCGCCCTGATGGTGGAAGCAGGAAGGATCTCTGAAACGTTGATAAACGTCTACCAGACTGCATAGCGTCATAACCCAGACGACCGCCATCTTTATATTTCCCGCCGTGAGAACCTAAAATCATGAATTCAGACATGAACCTCATACGGGAGACACAGATACATCCATAAAATGGTTGAGAATGTCTCTTAAAGGATACTAGGCAGAAGACTGTTTAACCTTTTTGAAGAAATTCCCTTTTTTATAGATTTATTGCCGTGCTTTCAAAATCCCGCTCTAGGGTTCTGTTCTGAACCAAATGAATTATCAGCACTCTCAGGTCATATTTCTGCAAGATTTACGTTACTGTTACCCTCTCATCTACGTCTAGGTTTTCCAAAAGTCTCTTTTCTCAGGTATGCATTGTTCATTTCCTTCGTATGTACTACGGGGCTCGGACGTACCATTTTAAAATGGCCCCAAAATGTAATATACAATACCATAGAACGATTTAATTAGAATTCTATCCAGTACACGTAAAAGTGTTTTGAAATTTAACCTGTGTTCTAAATTTCAGCATCCGTTATAGAATTACGTACGTCTTCAGTCATGTTACAATAAATTTAAGGCAGAAGTAACCTGCACTATGCCCCAAAACATTCATCTCAGTGGCAGGGCTTACAGGTTATGAACAACTGGGTCATCGGTTCAGACTTTTATTCCGGGATAACATTTTCTAATCTCGTGGCGGCGAGTTACAGAACGCCAAAGAAGATCTCTTCGGCAACAGGGGTGTGAAAAGGAAGTGGCTGTGCGAACGGCAACGCTTATTACACCTAGCAGCCTCATAAGTTACGAGAGGAAATTGAAATACCCGAAAAACTAATGTCTGTGTTTTTATAAAACCTGTGTTTGTGTATAAAGCATTAACCTTCGTAATAGTAGAGCACACTGGAATTATTCAACATGTGAAGTGTCTGGTTCGTACTTCTGAGTTTGTATCTTACTGCTGGTTACTTAGAATCAGTTTGACGCGTAAAGAAGCAGAGAAATGTAAAAACAATTTTCATCGGAAAACTTGACGGAGCCATTTTGGAGACTTAGGCATAGGAGAAAGTATAATATTAAAATGGGTCTTGAAGGACTAGGATGTGAGGATGGACTGGATTCATCTAGCTCAGGACTGTTTCCAGTGGCGGGCTATGGGAACACAGTAAATAATTTTTGTATTCCATAAAAGGCTGGTAATTTTTTCAGCTACTTAACATCTGTTCTGCCATATTGAGTTGACAAGTAGCGCGGAAATTCGACGCATTCTATAACAGCTTGCGGTTATTCCAGTTCACCTTCAGCTTTCGTGATAAGCATGCCGTAATAATCTTATCAGTCAGTTCTGTAGTCTTGGAAGCAACAGCAGGCTATGGAGTTACTGAAAGGTGCAACTATTAGATAAATTTTATTTCAGTTGTCCGTCAGTCATGTCGTAGTAGTATGTGGCTAAAGGAGTGAACGTCGGGTTCATTGCTAAAGGTCTAACGCGTATACTGAAGTTTCAACGCTACTGGAAAGTTTAATTCCGGAATGCTTGTGGGAAAAACGTGGCTGATGACTGGTAAGTTGGGTGCCCTGGTACTGAAATTAAATTATATATGCCAATTTTATGTCTTTGAAAAACGCTGCCCGTTGGTATATAACACGATGATTAATTTTATTATTATTTTCTTTACGTTTACTTCTAGGACAATGATTTTGCTAGCCTTTAGGAGAATTTCTATATATATTTTTTAAAATTCTGTGTATTTTCACCCAAGTCAACTCATAAGATTATCCAGTAAAGTTTGTTAAAGCCTCACAAGTGCTGCTTTCATTCGTACGATGTACCTTTCATTAGTACTAGATCTGTCATACTGCAAAGTTAATTTTATTTTACGCCAGTGTTGCACAAACTTTTTTCACTGCTACACATACTAATTTGTCAAAGACATATGACGGCCCGCCATAAAATTTTACCGGGTACATTACACATGGCCATAATTATGTATCTATCCACCTATTAATCCTTGTATGAAGGCACAGGAAAACAAAACATGACACATGTTGAATAAAACTGTCGATGATCAGCCACATTATGTGTGTGTGTTTGTTAAGAATTGTAATTACGAAAGGTCATATATTACACTTTTATAATTGTGACGTGCTAATATACAATTTATTATAAAATTCGCGACACACATGAAACCTTGAGGCGGAACACAGGTTACATAACGCTCTTTTATATGACAGTTGCTTACTTTTGTAGAAATATGACGAAGTTAAAATATTTACGAACGACAGTAACTAGTCAATATTATACTAACAAAGAAAATAAGGTCACATTAAACTGGGGCAGTGTTTGCTATCATTCAGGTCAGAATTACCTGTAAACTGTATGCATTCTGAAGTATTATTTTATGTGCTGTTTAGTTTAGGTATATTCTGCTCTAAGGGAAGTCGAGATTTGAGGGTGACGATCTTACAGCGGCGAAGGTCTCGATGTTGTTGTTCTGGGTTTCATCACCATGTGGACTTGTAAGTAGATACCAACGTTTCGCAGAAACATACTGTCTTTATCTTCAGGGCTGAAGTCAGTCCTAGAAGATGGAGACTTTGTTTCTTCGAAACACTGGTAACTACCTACAGATCCACACAGCATCAATACTCAGAATAGCAATATCGACCCGTTTAAGGTCGTTTGAGAGCGGAATGCTGGGAAATATATGAACCCAAGCCGGAGGAAGTAACAGGAGATTCATAACTTGAATGCTTCACCAAATATCATTAGGGTGATCAGACATTTTAGTTTGTGATGGACTGTACATGCATAACAGCAGTGATAAATGCAACAAAATTTTAGTTTTAAACGTAAAGGGAAGACACTGCATTGGAAACTAGATACATATGCAACTATTATGTTAAAATGTATCATCAAGAAATAGGGTGTGTGTATTTATGAAATGGACTTACTTGCCTCAGGATAGGGAATAGTGACGATGTCTTGTGAAAATGGTAACGAACTTTCGAGTTCCATAAAAGGCGGAGAATTTACTGGACAGCTGAGCGAAGAAATACTCTGCGCTGTGGGGTTAGTTAAGACTGTAATTTTATTTCTGTGGCGTGAGATAAGATACCAAAGTTAAACAGCGACATGGTGCGTTAGATTACAGCGTCTAAACTGTGAACGTGTCTAAAGTGAGAGTTTGTGTGTAAGGAAGTCGCACGCACGCACACATCGTGTGGAAGAATGTCGACTGCAATTTCGTAAGAACACGCTCTTTATTGTTTGGTTTAATGATACTATTACACGCAAGTTTGTCGATTTACAAGGCACATGTACACATTCACATTATGAAGTACCTAGTCGCCTGAAAGTGTGTGTGTGTTTCGAGTAAAGAAATAACACTCATGTTTACGATATTATAGAGAAGAATCTTATCAGAAACCGAAAAAATGTGGGCTCAATCGGGTTTGTTTCGTGATCGAGTTTTTAGGAAGGCATTTATTCTGGGCAAATGTTAGACATGTGTCAACGTCGCATTCTGACAGTTAATGACTCTTCTTCGCTTGTTTTGGAAGAAGCCCATTTATTATAAATCGAGCTCTAAATTTGACACAAAAATACTTTTGATGTGCTTATGAATTTAAAAGTTTGGCTTGTGTAAACAAATTAGTTTCAGCACTCCTTTACTTTAGTAATTCTGTAAAGGTTTATGACAACGGTAGAATTGTTATACCTATGTTATGTTGGGCATTGCCAGTATTATCAGTATAGGTATATTAGTTAGAAAACAGTGCATTATTAATTACCGTCTATGCAAGTATTAAATACATCGTTGCTACAGCATTTCAGAAAAACTGTAATATCTTTTGATTTTTTTACATTAAAGCTACTGATATTCATGTGTGTTACGTAAGTTCTAAAGTAAATTCATTCATATTTGAACGAGATTAAAATTTTCTGTTTCGGGTACATTAAGCAATTTACAGATTTTACAGTACTATTCCTTAATCAAACCCAGGAGCTCCAGAATTAAAATTAAGAACGTAGATCTTTTCTACCTCATCAGTGCGCTTGGAAAAATGCTAGATTAGACAATCAGGTAACTGTTGACATAAAAGACAAAACAAGACTCTTCATCACAGTTAAGAAAGTACTCGTTCGTTTATATCAGGCAAAGATAAAAGCATTACGATGGGCTGATGGAAAACACGTAATTGCACGTGACATTTCAATGTGAACGGAGGGAAATCAAGAACACGTGACTTTGTTATGACCTCGAAAACCATAAACAAATCTTTGACCCCTCCTCTAAACAATTCAGATTAGAAGTAAAAAGACCTACTGCTTCTAATACAGCAATACGTGCATGTTCAGCACAATGACTGCATATACGCATTTAATTTGTTCTGTAACAACTGTTTTTGTTTTAAAAATTAACAGGTGTAGAAGCATTAAAGTTTGACGGAACTTAGCATACACTCATCATCTCAAAATATGTGTCATTCTACATCATAACTGAAAAGATTAAGTTATTCGATGTATGTGCATGTGTACGTACAGAAGCTGTTGGAGGCGCTAGTTCCGTGATGACGTCACCTCTCTGAGTCCCCCGGCGTCATGCTGCCCCGGATCTCCCTTCGCCGTAGTTTCCTCTATCTGCTGGGTGTCACGTGCTTCCTCTTCCTAGCCGTAAATGTACACCAGAGGGAGCTTTGGGCCCGCTCGCTGTTGGCGGCAGAGATGGCTCCTCCTCCTCGCAGTGGCGCCGGCAGTAGGGGCGGTGGTGGAGACCAGGCGGCTGATCACATCTTCGCTGGAAGTATCAACCGGCTAGGAGAGGCGGTGGACGAGGAAGAGCCCGGCGTAAAGGAGCAGGAAGACGTCGAGGAAGACCAGGTAACGCCTGTTGGTAGGGCACATGTTGGCTTGGGAGGCTGTGGGAATGGATATAATCCGTACAGAGTGGCTGCTGTAGGCAAGCTGTTCAGTTCTGCCAGAAATATGAACGATCTCGACGTATAAACATTTAAGAAAAACAAAATTTATTCCCTTCATCTTCATTGTTACATTCAGTAATGTCACATACGAATAGAAATGTCCAATCAACAAACAATTATGAAGAAATAACCAGTTGTAGGATTTGAGGTTTTTCAGGCGATGAGTCCGAAGACAGTTTGTCTTCTGGGTTGTAGCGCCGTGTAGTCTGGTAGAAGTTAACAAACGTTTCAGAGGCCCTTGCTACGTCCATCATCAGGGCCATGATGAAAACGTTGGTAAACTTTTACCAGACTACACGGTGCAACAAACCTGAAAACAGCTATCCTAAAATAAGCAGTTGGAAGTTCAAAAATGTGCATATTGAAACTCATGAAGTTACAAAACTCTCTCATGCACATACTCACACATGTATAATGAGGAGGTTGGACAATGGGGCCGATAGCAGCCGCGGTTACACGCAGCCTCACTACGTTGTAATAATATAAAATACGACGTAATGGTTTAAACATATAATAAACAAAGAAGCATACTAGCTCACTGTGTAAGGTATGAAAACACTTAATTTTGAAGAAATTTATGATATCACATAACAGCAGCTTCGATTCACAATATCATTTCGTATCTACAAGGTTGTGATTGACTGGGTATGTAGAACGGGTGGGAAACCCCTTGTGAAGCTCTACGTCAAAGCACGAGATGGAAATGTGATTATAACATTACTGCGAATTTAAATAAAGTGGGTCAATGTGGGTAAAACTGGGTAAGGAACGTGGCTTTGCCGTTACCGATATTGGAATTTGGTTTGTGCTGCCAGAGAGGATTTACTGCTCAGTCCACCTGAATGACCCTCACTCCTGTTGCAGGCAGCGTCTAACCACGGGAAAGTGATAGCCACCAGCGTCAGTAATAACGGAGAAGATGTTCCGCAGGTTGAGGAAGAAGGTCGGCCCTGGTACATGTCTGAGGGCACGCGATGGCCTTTACCAGCCGCGAGAAGTCGCAAATCTGGACGCCGTATAGCTCGGCTGTGGCCTCATGAGGACCCTGGTTCAGATCGCATTACGAACCAACTTATGTTCGTCCCACCTGTCTCGTCAGCAGGCGAGTCAGATGGACACAGGCTCAAGAAGATACTTTTTTACAACGGGCTCGGTTCCTGGGCTCCGCTCAAGGCTGGCAGAGACGTGTTCACGCAGGCCCGGTGCCCTGTGGACACTTGCACAATCACGTCGGACAAGGCGCAAGCAGCTGACGCCGATGCAATTCTGTACAAGGATCACTTCGTGAACCCGAGTCATCCTCGTCCACCGAGACAGGTAAGTTTTTGCACAGGCTAATCCTGCGTATGCTCGGGCTAATGCTGCAAAACTCTTGGGTTCCTCTTGCTCGGTGTGTACAGACTGCTACTCTACCGACACTATATCGGGCAGCTCAAGCACACTGCTCCAATCATCATACAAGCCAAAGCTGCACAGTTTATGCGGCTGAAAAGCGTCGTTAAATAGGACAAGGACCAGTCAGTCGATTATCTGAATTGTATTCATCATGAGTTCGAGGACTCATTTGGGGCTCACTCACTTGGGCGAAGGCCAGCTCCCCCAGTGAGTACGCCATTTTTGGGTGTTCTTCGTGTTTCAGGTGTGGATCCTGTACTTCTTAGAATGTCCGTATCACACGCAGCACGTCAAATTTAACGACGTGTTCAACTGGACGGCAACATACCGCGGGGACAGCGACATCGTGGCGCCCTACGAACGGTGGGCGTACTACGACGAGCGTGTCAAGCAGAACCATAAGCTCGATCTCAACTATGCGGCCAACAAGACGAAAAAGGTGTGGAAGTCCACCACAGACCGTAAATAGGAACAGGGTCCTTGAACGTTAGACGCAAACGATCGTGTGACGACTCTCATAAATCCAGCATTTGACAGGAAAAAAGTGTTAGGTTTACAGCCCCTGTAGTTGCGATGATAAATATTATTCCCAAATATTTGCTTATCGGTTAAGGCTGGATAAGCCTTATGAACTGTTAGTAATTTTTATAGTTTACTCTTGCTGGTAGCATTCATACTATTCATAAATATGGGATTTTCCTTTCTTTCTCATGAATTATGTATTATTCCGACACGGGATCGAATTATTTGGTTGATATTTTATTTATTTACAATACTTTATAAACTCTTGATGTTATATTGATTCGAAATGTATTAAATGATATTTATATAACTTGAATATATAATAAATGGAAAAAACAGTCTTGGTCTGTCAAAAGATTCTTTATCGGGTTTTATTTGTTCGAATTAGGAAAAAAATACATGACCATACTTTGCTGGCCGAAACTCAAACCGAATACCACCTAAAAAGACGTCATGCTATTACCGTTAGGGTACTCTGCTATGCCCGTCCACAAGGACACCAGAAAACTGAATATAAGCCAATTAGTATTAACAGTACTTTAGTAAGTTGTTTCTTGCGTTATTTCGTCGACATTATATTCTAAGATTAAGCAGACAGCGTGATGGATGATAATTATAAAGGGCGACTTTGTAGATACAGCAGAGTCAACAAACGTGTTAACGTCTCATTCAACAACAAATATGCATGAGGAAATTAATGTGGGAAGGTCTGAGCAAACAAACATATTAAAGGAATGGCGCCACTCATCATATTTGTTTATATTTCCATTTGCACTTGTATAGCTTCGTGGCGTCTGTTACTAAACGGTAGCAAATTTTGTGGCAGAGTACTGGATTCCTTTCAGCGAGTAAATAGGTTTGAATTTCTATCATAAAACCACCATTTCTGCTGTAACAGGTTCCAACCCGAAACTAGGGGTAGGTCTAGTGGCTATAATCGTTCAAGTTCACGTTCGCCCTGTCCGTTTACATAATAATGATATCACAACCCATAAGAAAAACATTGGCAGATTTATTGCCGTGAGATCACATCATTATAAACAGCACATTCGCCCCATTCTAGGACAGTTGTCAACAGATATCTTTCTAAAATCTTAACGACACTACATTATGAAACAGGGCTTCAGTAAAGTCTTTACAGATGCGAAAAACGTTTCAGAGGTGCTTGCTGAAACGTCGGTAAACTTCTACCAGATTCTACGGCACAAAATCCTAGAAGACAGGCATCTTCGTAAATATATTTGTTTTAATTACTTTTCTGAATGTGGTAAACTCTGTATCGATAAATATGTTAAGATATTTCATTAACGCAAGTTCAAGTTTGCTTTTGCATAATTTCTCACCTCGCCACCAGGTCATTAACAACAACAACAACAATCGTTTCAGTGTAGGGCGGATTATGTGGTTTTCATATTATTTTCGAGTTTGATTTGCGCCATCGAAATCACAAAAGAAAAATATCGTTGTCATTATTTTGAAGGATTAAGCGTGTCGACCTTAGGAACACCTTTACAGATTCTAGAGTGCGTCAGCCCGTCTATCTCCTGTTTAAAATATCTTTTCATTGCACTTAAATTAGACATTTCCTCTGGTCCATGTTTAACATTTTAAAGCTTAATGGTTTATATATCTAGACTACGCCGACATCTCCGTTTGAATTTTCTGAAACTATCGTAAACATTCAAATAGTAGCACCTGGCTACTTCTTGCAGTTTGTGTTCTTCCAAGTACAAGTATTAGATTAAACCCGGCGCTTAACGTATCATTTATGAAATTTCAGCCCAAACAGAATCCTAAAATTAGGTTCTTTTTGTTTTACTTAAGTCAATCAGTAGTAACGCGCTTAACGTATGTTTTGGAGGTACTCGGTTCGAGTTTCCTTTGCGTTATATCAATCTGTGGTACGTTGCAGGTCGCGTGGTTCGTTTCGAACTGCGGCGCCCGGAACCGTAGGCTACAGTACGCACACGAACTGCAGAAACACATATCTGTGGACATCTATGGAGCCTGCGGCACCAAGAAGTGTCCACGCTCCACGGCGAACAAGTGTTTCGACATGCTTGACCGAGATTACAAGTTCTACCTAGCTTTCGAGAACTCCAACTGTAAGGACTACATCACTGAGAAGTTCTTTGTAAACGGCCTCGGGTGAGTGATACAGCGACTGCAGTGGACTGACTTGGCGCTGTAATAGCCATGTTGCTGGTTCTAATTCCAACTAGGGTATGAATATCTGTTGGGTCTAGAGCTTTATGATTTCATCACCGTTTATCATCTAATTCAACATCTGTGAAACGTATGCTTAGGTATTCAATTGGGCGGACCAAACTCCACACGAGTTTGAAAAATCACACTAACTTGTCGTTCTTCAGTCAATCCTGAGGGAACCCCGAGATCTTCCTGTTGTGTAATATCCAAAATTATCCAAGTAGACCATTGGTACAAATATTTTAGTATGCACTTTGTTTTCAAAAATTGCTGTGTATTATAGTACGCATTTGATATCTACAGAAGGCAAATGACTAAACGTCTGCATAACTTAATTTTTAGGTTGTGCTTAGCTTGGGCAGCTACACTTCGGCTTCTTATCGCGGAGACCCGGGTTTAATTCCGGGTGAATTTAAATAAGATTCCTGTTGGACGAAGTGTCATTGAAGTCAGGATTTTCTTCGACATATTCGCGCCCCCCTCCTCCATTAATGATCATTCCTTTGCTCCACACTTATCTATCATCATCCCAGGTCTGCGATAGCTCTGACCAAACAGCACATTACAGTACCTTCGGTCTTATCTGAGCCGGAACGTGGCTGGTCTCAGAGTAGAGGTAGTTCGGTTTACGCCATCGTCTTCATTGCAGCAAAGAAAAGAAACCGAAAGTTATCCACAAGGAAGATGTTGGGTCTGATAATAATGATATCACTGTTACAGCCGAAACGTCCTGCCGGTGGTGATGGGGGCCCGACCTGAAGATTACGCTCGCGCTGCGCCATATCGCTCGTACATCCATGTGGACGAATTCGAGTCACCCCAAGAGCTCGCAGCGTACTTGCATCGCCTGGACGCAGACGACGATCTTTACAATTCGTACTTTCGGTGGAAGGGTACAGGAGAATTCATCAACACGTACTTTTTCTGCCGCCTGTGTGCTATGCTGCACGACGACTTTCCTATCAAGTCCTATCGGGACGTGAATGACTGGTGGCGTGGGCCGGGCACGTGTACGGGAGGATCGTGGCGGAAAGCGGTCAAGAACTTGCCGTCGGCACCGGCAGGCTAGAGAAATGGGCGTAGCACTGTGGGAATTGTTGCTGGATGAGGCGACTTCTGTGTTCCAAATGCTGAATCCAAGTATTTGGGATTTAAGGCAAGCAAGGTGAGAACCTTTTTGAATTTTAGGTTTTGCCTACATCCCAGGTGTTCCGTGGGAAGGAGTCAACTAGTCTGTTTGCGAAAGAAAGTCCGATTCTGACATGTAGTCTCAATCAATGTGAGAAAATGTTACAATTGTCAGAGACTACCGTATTTTATAATGAAGCTCACCTATTATGACGAAAGCACAACGGTAATGGTTCAAAAATCACTCAGGCCGCATTGTGAACTTGCTGTAATATTGTCTGCATTAGGACCGTCGTTGAAGAATAGGGCTTTAACCGAAAGTACATGCATTCTTATAATTATTTTGTCAAATGTAAGCTTAGTTATGTTCCTTGTTAACTCCCTTTCACCGAAGCCTACTCTGAACATAAGAAAGGCCCTTTTAAGTGGTGTCTATTAATCTAAGCAAATTTACTGGATAATAGTTTTAATAATTAACCTTGAAGCTAACCACCCGCCTCCGTGAAGTGCCGAATTTGACTTTCTTTCCCTTTCGACAAGATGGAAAGATTTAGCCTTGCAGAAACTTTCGAAACGATGTACGAGTTTTACAAAACGCGATATAAAATTGTAAAACTTAAAAAAGAAACGCATAAAAATGCTGTTCGCAGCTAAATCAGTATTAAAATGAAGACCGTGTTTTAACCATAATCATTAAACTTATTATAAACGGAAGAAAAACATAGTACTGAGAAATGTTAATTTTCACGTTAAAATTTCACGATTCTTTGTATCTGGGGTATATGATTTAGCATGCATGCATCTTATTATATCTTAATTATTATGTACCACGTAATCAGTGCATTATAATCAAAATGCAGTAAGACTGAGTCATATTAAATCATATAATTCCAGACACAGCGAATCGTGAAAAGTCAAAATAAAAATGAATTATCCTATTCGTTCTGAAGAACATAAACAAAGCTGTAAAGGAGAAATCAACGCTGTCAGGAAGTATTTTCTTACGAGTTGTTTCGGGAATAACAGAAGTTCCCATTTCTTCGATGGGAAGCAACACATTTCTCTCACGTTGCGTGTAATGTGAGCACTCAGACTGTTTCTTTAGAAGTACAATGTCATAATTATCTTTATAAATTAATATGCCTACTTATTTTATTACACAGTATACAAGAAGGGAGCCAATGAAAAAATGTGGTCAGTTTTGTCACATTACAAAATCTTTCCACTAGCCGCTGAGTTCGATAACCCACTATGAGTCTATATTACTTTCAAAAGGAATTATGTCTTATTTCGTACAGAGCGTATTTTGCATGCAAAATTTAAATTTTGCTATAATATGTACTACATATACGTAAGAATTATAAATATCGAAACTTATATTAAAGTCCTTAATCATCTGTTATGCTAATCAAAAGAAGAATATCCAGTACTATTGAGATAAGGTTTAAACTGTGTATTAAAGTTAAACAGGTGTATTTAAACTATTATCTTATAGTTCTCTGAACATGTTTTATAAGTACTCCCTATCAAACAATTGTTTAGCCACCGGACTGCACGATTCTCTTGGAGTATAACTACATCTGTACTACGTTTAGTAAAAATTAGTCTTGGAATCGTTGAAATGAGAGTGTGATTTTGGAAAACAGGCTGGTGCTAAGACAGTCCACATATGTGGAAGACATTGGTTCGTGTGTTGTGCTAGTTATTTGAACATTTCTTCCTACTGCAATGAACTTGAAGATACGTTGCAATAAGAATAACTGTACTGGTGATACATCAACGCTTCTTTTAACAAAGACTCGTCATTGTAGGTTGAAAACACGAGAAATAGACAATAACAAAATGCAAAAGTGAGATAAAGTGCTAGTGGTAATACCGTCTGTTATTATCATCATCATTACTTGATATTTATTTTGTGCTTGCTAAGAAGGGTTTAAGTCAATAGGAAGTACGCGTGACTGAAGCCCTTCTTGCAGAGCATCGAAAGAACAATTCGTGGTATTGACTCTGTTGTTGAGTTTGTATGGCTGTGTGTATGCGTAAGTCGTCGAAGGAATTTCGAACGTAACAGTGCATAATTCCTAAGAAATAATTTCTCTATAGTAAGCTGCAATGTCATCCAAGTGCAGGCACCGAAGTTCATTTCAGAAAATACCTGTTACATTGTTAGCGATAGTACCTTAACTCTAATATAGCTGCCTTTTCCAGATTTGGTGTAATGTAATACACAGTTTCAAACGGATGCCATGCACAGTAAATATCTGCATGTCAAATAATTCTGTTAGTTAGGAAATTATGGCAACTTTCGTTACATGAGCAGGGATGCGTAATTTATAAGGTGTTGTACATCGGGTTCTTTCTGTGGCGAGGTTGTACGAGTACTTTTATTTTAATTTCCACCATAAATTCTATCTGTGTGTTATACCAATAAGTCCTAAATTGACATTCAGAAACACTGTTTCTGAAATTCCACATTCTTCCAAATGTATCATTCGACAAAGTGTATTTAACGAAACTACAAATATATCTTTAAACTGAAGCAAATAATTTTATAAAACTATCGTGGGAATCACTTCACAACTAAAGCAAATAGTAGACTGCAGAATGATAAAGGTAATATCACATAATTGGTTTGTCAGTCGGAGTGATATCTATTCGCGAAGGAAGGCAGCGTTCAGAGCAGTGTCAGACATCGGTGTTTGTCTTCTGGTTCGTAAAGCCATGTGAGCATGTAGGTATGTAGCAACATTTCGGAGAAACATAAACTCTCCATCTTCAGGACCGGAAAGAGGACCAAACTGTCTCCATTATAGCCTTGAAGATGGAGGCAGTATTTTCCTCCTAAACGGTTGTACCTATCCACGAGTCTACACTGCGATGCAACACAGAAGACCAACATTAACCCTTCCACCGCCGTGAGAACCTCAGGTGTATGCGGTAACTGACCTCACCAATTTGGTACCCCGACTACAGACGTTTCCTATGCAAATTCGTGTTGCTCGCAGCAGGCATCGTATCATGTTACCTGCAGTCCGTTATTTTAGATTTATGATGCTATTACATCTTATATTTTACTGAGGTAATTAGTAGGTCAAGAAAGAAGTTAGAAGTAAAGAATAACTGATCTCGCAAAACACAGTAAAATCAAACCCTAATCAATTTGTAGATTTACTATAACTGCGTCAATCCCCATTGCTGTTTAGTGTTAGTAATTTTGGTGATGCAGGTTTTTAAAAAAAGGCAAGAAAACGGGGTAGGAAAAGTCAGAGGAAATATTCAGCAGAGCAGGTCTGTCCTCCACATATCACACGATCACACGTACACTAGCGTTCACTTGGAGGCCAAGACGTAGAGGCGAATTGTCTCTCTCACGCACACACATACACTAGAAATTAACACAGTTCGTGGGTGAAAGTCCGACCAAGAAATAATTAGACATATATCATCTATAGCGTAACGAAATATATTTGAATAATTACGTAATTCTCTGTGGTCTAGTCCCATATATACAGAGTCAGGAACCACCAATTATGTTAATTTACATTATCAGTAAGATCAAATATGAAACCTGCCTGACTGATAACTTGCTAAGATGTAATCATTTAAGTATTGACAAGGCTGAACGATTCTGAAACGAATATTTGTATTTTACGTGTGATAATGATTTAGGCATGTTTTCTGATCAGATAAGAAAGGCAAGCTGTGACATTGATTGGTGTTTGCTTTCGCTGTGTTTATCATTTACTATGAAGAGTAGTTTTAGGAATATGAATAATTATATTCTTCGCCTTGACTTAAAATTTGCAAGGCACTAAGCAAGCTTAAGCAGTTGTTAAGTCAAACGTTTTCCTGAGTGCAACATAGCGAAGAAGAGGTAACAGATAATTTAACACGAGACTTAATTTGCATTTTACTTCTGTAGTAATACATTCGAAAGTAAGAAATATAAACTCTTAGAGAAAACGTAACATAATATTGTTATGAATGAAAACTAGAATAATTAACAGAATTAGATATTTTGATAAATTAAAATCGAAGCACAAAAAATAAAATTAGTAACGTAACATTCCGTTAACTTCAGTATTTGTTCAGTATATGAAGAATGTCTTTCCTGGAAACAGTTTTATTTATAATTAAGGTTTATTATGATTTTTCTCATGTAAACCCATCTGCTAACGTAACAATATCTCTGGCGTTGAAACAATCTCATATCAGCCACAAAGGGAAAATAATAAAAAAAAGAGCGCAGTAATGCGAATTAGAATTGTGGATATGTTACCTATTGCTATGTTGAAATAATTCTACATTATGGAAATTTTATAAGTAATAAATAAGCTGTCATTAGTAAAGGACAAACCATTTGAAAGTGCTCAAAACTGGTTATTTTTAAACGTGTAATACAAGGACTAAATTAGACCATCTAACTACAAACTTTATAGTTGCCTTCATACCGTTATATGTTAGCGAGGTACGTGATAAATAGTAAGGTCATGAAACAGTCGATTTTGTTAGGAACTTGTGGGTTCAGATGAAGCAAAATGTAGTATGATGTTTATCTTCCATATTATCAAATGTCAACTTTTATTAAACGCAACCCTTATGGCGAAAATGTGCTTCATCACCCAATGTTCAGATTACTCAATAGCTGCACAAGTCCTATAAAATAATGTAACTTTGTAATTTAGAGAAACCATATTATTAAGGTATCCATGCACAAATGGTATATTGCCGTGGTTAATGGGAAATATATCGACATTTCGAACGTTCACCTGTAAGGTGTAAGATATGCAAAGTTTCTGAAAAATGTGGTTATGATGCAACATAGAGCTATTAACTTCATTCCAGTTAATGCCACTATAAAAAGCCAAAATTATATGTTTTCCATGACATTTATAATCAAAGAAAATGCTTGTACCTCATTCCACAAAGAGATAACAGATGTTCCATTAGGCATATAGATTAAAAATACTGGGACTACGAACCGAATGGTACTGACAAATTATATTTAATATTGAAATTGTAATTTCATTTTTCCCCTCAACTCGAAAAGTGCAATTCCTTCAAGAAAACATTAAAATACTTTCCCCATTACAAAAATTTGAATTTTCTGGCAATCATTTCCCTTGGCTATATCTAAATTATTAGTAGTTCCAGGTACACAGGTTGGTGGGAAGACGTCAAAAAACATTCATTTACAGAATGTTTTAATAATATATCTACAGGGAACAGAGCAAGTCATAAAGAGTCTGGTAATCGAATAATAATTAACAGAAGAGGGTGTTATGTTTTTGTGTAAATTGAGGCTGTCGGAACGGCTGTTGATATGAACGTTTATACGAATTGTAATAATGTATAAAGTATAGTTAGACATGTACATTACAGTACTGAAATATTATATAATTATGTGTGTAGCCTAAACCACGATGATTGTTGGAAAAATATACTTGGAGAAACTTGACATTTGGATATAAATCGACAGTTTCATGACTAAATTACACAACATTCTAGTTATAAAATTGAGGTTGTACAAGTGGCCACAAAATTGGTCGTAGTGTAGGATGTAGCGAGTGACATAATCACTCGTGAATGAGCGCGCGTGTGTGATTGTGTGTTTATTATTATTATCATTGTTGTTCCTTTGGCCAATTCGATGACACTTAGCCGCGTGTGTGTGATTTCTGTTGTTGATGTTTACGTAACAGTTTGTGTCACTATTCAGTATTATGATAAAGCCAATGATCTATTATATTTAAGTATATTTTTTATTCTATATGTTCTGAGTTATGAACTCATTTACATTGATTCCTTTGTGGAACTTATAAGGAAATTGGTTTGCTTTATTGTTAAGAAAAGTAATATTCAGTCACATTCTTTATTCCAGATTTGAAAAACTGTTTGGTGCTATTGTTGATTTTATATTTTCAAGTGTAAAAGAAATTTTTTGTAAAGGTCATTGAAATAAAATATTGTTAAAAGTACAGACATGTTAGTATCGTGTATACTGAATTAGGGTAGTGGCTTTGTCACGAAAATGTGATAAGAAGAAGTAGCCTTTAAATGTATATAAACTGTGTCAGTATGTTGTGGAAGTAATAAACTTATTGTCAGTTAACAGCCCTACTCTGTCATTTCCCTCCATTTGTTCCAGTAAGTGGGTACATTGCTACTATGTCATGTCGCGTCCTCAGGTTACAGATAGGGGAAATGGCCTCCAGATATGCAGGGTAGCTGCGACTATATTGCATCGTCAGTCACGTACAGCCAACAGGGGGTGGTCCTCCAGCTTGGGATTGGAAGAAAGCTAACTCCTCACCGGAAAAAAAAAGATTATGAAATGTACCACAGGGCTCACGGACTTGGGTCATGTGACGGCTCTTATGAAGATGGTTATGAACCTTCGGGCTCCATAGTCGGAGAGAAATTTGATTGCCCTAGCGTAGCCTACTGTCAGATTCTTCAGGACTCTGCTACATGGAGTGAGTACGGTAGTTTGTAACTGGCTTTTCTGACTGAGATTTTTCCTGACTTCTGTCCCTGCAGGAGACTGCAGGGGTGATACGTATAGAAGTTACGACCGATTGCTTTTAAATCTTCAGTTATGCAATGTTTATAAATGCCATGCCATGACGACACTTTACATGGCCAGTAAACCTGGGTCTACGAAAACCAAGTACCATACTTTGTAACTTGCATTCGGACGGCAGGTTTTACAGTAAGGGAGTAACTAGTATACCATCGGGTAGGAATGGGGGTCGCAGTTGTGAGGGTTATCAAATATTTTTCGTAAGTTTCTATAACCGACTAAACAGTTGTTCCCAAAATTCTATCACTCTAAAACTGAAAATAGGATTTCCCGGTCTAAAATTCCACATTGCTGAGAACTTCTTCCTTACGAGGATTTAATAAATTCTTGTGAGACGTAAGACGCTGATCGCCCTATGCTCGATATAGGCCATCTTCTGCAACTTATTTGTCTACCAAATGTTGCAGTGTAGTGGTCAACACTTACTTTGCACTGAGAGACAGCTTGTTCGTTACTCGATCTGTAAGCCAGGTATACTAACGAATCATTTTCGTGGTTTCTCTCTCTCTCATTGCAGACACATTTTTGTCGAATGCCAATCTGATCAGAGATTTCGATCAATGAAACTTCTCTTAACATTACTGTTGATAAAGGCGACGGTAAAATTAAAACAACGCAATGCAGTGTAACTGACGCCAGTTGGGAAAACAATTTTAGAACACATCGCATCAACTGATTATTTGATACTTCTGCCATAGAATAATAAGGATAGTACTGGTAGGATATTAGGGTAAATACAGAAATGAGTACACCTAACATTTCCTGTCACTTTCATGTGTGTAGCTTTACAACCCTCAATGAAACCAAGCCTCCTTCAGTAGCAAGCACAGTAAAATATTTATTTTTACTCAGATGTATCCAGTACAGTGTTTTAAACTTCAGACAATATAAATAGTTCATTCCTACAGCTACATAAGAAGTATCCCATGACGTGTTATCATCTGTTCTGCTTGCAGTTTTCTTACAGTGATGTAAAAGTAACAAATACAACTAATGCCAAACTTTAAAATAATATACCGATCACTTCTCTAAATTCGAAACTGTACTACCACTTAATGTAATTACAGAGTATTATATATCAATCCTTCGTACATTTGTTGTTATATAAGCCAATATTTCACTGGCACTTTGACACGCCAATGTCACGGTTCGCGGTGACAATTTATGACATTCAAAGAGAAATAATGAATAAATTACATGTGTAATAAAAATTAAATGAAAATCATACTGAAAAAATAACGCGAACAACGGATTATTCATACAATCTTGTTTTTCTTAAATAGAATAGTTCAGGTACAATACACGGATATTATTTACAAAAAAAAAAAGAACTTACAGCACGCATTCAATTGTTACGTCACTCTTCGCGTTCGATTGGCTGATCAAAAATAAGTTCCGTTTCGTGTATTCTATTTCTACAACGCCATAGGCCAAAGTAGTGATGAAGTTATGGTGCGCTGAAAAAGGTGGTATTGTAGCCTGGGGCCACTAACGTATGAAATAAAACAGCGAAAATAAATTCACACGAGGCCGACGTATCGTCTCCAATCACAAGAACAGAACAGGCGATTATGATAAGCGTTGATTCAGTGAAACAGTGGCGATTGTTGGGTGCTGAAGAGAATATTTGGGCCTAGGGGAGAGCAGTACACGAGTATTCAAAGAAATACAGAACAAGGAGCTTCATTAAATCCTAAAGGGTTTTGACGACAGTGGTTTACACTTAAAATTATTCATTGTAAGTGACAGAGACTAGCTCTATCTAAGGGACCCAACAGAGTAGGTACCTCTCAACTGAAGACGGAGACAGTACCAGCCTCCGAAACGTCGTGGATATTAGAAAAAATCCACAGATACAGAAGGAACTGGATCCAACATGTACGAAGAATGGACAAGGACAGATTGCCACATCAAATTTCGAAACATAAACCAATAGGGAAAAGAAACAAAGGACACCCTTTGAAAAGATTCCTGGATGACTGAGGCCGGAAAGGGCCACAAGGCCCAAAATCCTTGATGATGACGATGGGAAAAGTCATGACAATGAATAATTTTAAGGAGCTTCATAATTTGTAAACCGTTATAATTAGGGTGATCACATCGAGACTGATGGGCTGGATGAGGCCTGTAGCATTCTTGGTATTTGCAAAAAATTAAAAATTAAAACAATATAAAAAACAAGCAAAGAGAGAATATGGGAGACCTAGGCGAAGATTGAAGGATAATATTAACGTGGTTACTACAGAAATTAATTTTTAGGTTGTGGACGGAATTGGTATGGTTCAGTATAGGGTCCAATGATGGACGATTGTGAACACAGTAATGAATCTTTGGCTTCCCTAAAACGTGGACAATTTTTTGACTAGCTGAAGGACTATTAGCTTCACAAGAAGAACTCTGATTCATGGAGTTAGTTAGTTAGTTAGTTAGTGGGAACTGTCAGCATCAAACGCAAATTAAAAGAATGTCCTTCTTTGGGCTCTAAACAAGCATGTGTTGAATAGCTTTAAGAGATGCATCCTGTCGCGTGTTGGAGATGACCAACTAAGGTCGAAACATATAGTGGATTCTTAATAAATACTGAAACTACAATAAAAAAATGCTTGTACAGACGGACTGTCAACATAACGTAGAATGTGTCAAAATTGGATGGATTTAGGACGGTTGTTGCTGAACTCAATAAAACTTTAATAGTTCTGCTTCTTAATTTTTCTTTTCACAGAACTTCGTCTTATTTAACGGTGGCTGTCTGCGATCGCTACATTGTGCTGCGATAAGAAATAGGTATTTTCACAGTCGTGGAATGTTTAAGAAATAACGCGTGTAACCAGAAGCGTTATTATAACTTGCCACTTAGAACTAATTTAACGACATAAGATAAATCTGGGCAAGTTAACAATGCTTCTTTCTTCTGCAAAAGTTTAACATACACTGAAGTTACAACTAATCACTGATATAAATCATTGTCCGTTATGTTCGATATTGCTGTTCTTCTGCACTTCAGCCGTCGTTTAAAATTATAAAATGGGCTATCGTCTTCAGTTTAAATTCTACTCTGGTCCAAGGTTCCAGAAATTGGGATTAGTAGTGGAACTATGGTCCAGAGATTTTAAATAGCCTCTTCTCTCGGACTTACTAGACCAAAAATTATCACCTGATAAAGAGATAAGAGCCAGCTGCCGAAACGTAGTGGTCTTGTTTTGGAATTTTATACGATGGTTAAAGGTCAGCAGCATTGGATTAGTATTGGTTCGGTTCATAAACGCCACAAGCTTAACTTTTAGAAACAAAACCATTTTCCGATTGCCGTCCTGTAAACCACATGCAGCCCAAATTCGTAAATTCTGAGACATGAATTAGTCTGTAGTCTACAATAATTGGAGTAAAATCTGAGCTGAATTAACCATATGTTACCTCGTGACACTTCGATCCAATGCGTAATTAATATTAGAGTCCGCTGAAAGAAATAGGAGTTTTGTTTTAGTCATGCAGTTTACGTCATTACTGCTTTC